GGTAGCCCAGGCTGGCCTCGAACTCACAGAGATCCGCCTGGCTCTGCCTCCCGAGTGCTGGGATTAAAGGCGTGCGCCACCAACGCCCGGCACAAAAGGACAATTTTAATACATGCATACAATGCATTTTGAGCATTTTCTCCCATATCCCCATCCACATACTTTATTATTATTATTATTATTATTATTATTATTATTATTATTCTCCTTTATTCCCCTAGCCTTCTACTTTCATGTTATATATACATTATGCCTAAAGCAAAGTTTTTAAATTATTGCAATAAACTTTGTTTTTTAGAGCAATTTTAGGTCCCACAGAAAATCAAATACTACCCAGAGTTCCCATCTGCCATCTTTCTTCCATCACAATTCCCATTATTAATATCTTGCCTTAGCATAACACATTTGGTAACACTGTTGTACAAATTATTGTTCACTAAAGTGCAAAGTTCACACTAGGATTGACCTGTTATATGAGTCTATTTTTTTACAAACCCATAATGTTATATATATCTACCTTTATAGTATAATAAAGGAAAATTTCATTGTCCTAAAAATCATCTGTTTTAACTCTTTGTCCTCATTCTCCTCTTCCCCTGATAATCAGCATCTTTTTAATGTCTTTATAATTTTTCTTTTGCCAGAATGTTATATAATTGAAACAATATTGTCTTTCTTTTAAAAAATGTTTCCATTAATTCTTTGAGAATTTCATGCAGTGTATTTTTATCCTATTCACCTTTACTTTTCTTCTTAACTCCCCCTAAATCCATTCCCATCTCCTCACACCCAGCTTTGTGTCCTCTTTATTCTCATTCAGTAACCCGCCACTCCAATTTGAGCTGTACATACACACTTGGGTGTGGGTTGTCCACTGGAGCGTGGTCTGGAGCCACACCTTAAATAAAACTGACTTTCCCTTCCCCAGAAGCCATCAACTGTCCATAGCTCCCCAGGGGTGGGAGCTCATGATCCTCTTTCCAATCCATGCTGGAAGGTAGCCAGCGTAAGCAATATGCCATTTTGTGGCTTAATAATTCATTTCTTTTTACTGAGCATTCGAAAAGGATAACTCTTTAAACTTAGCAATAAGTTTCAGCTTATATGCTTTGGATTCTGATTTAATAAACCAGCTCTGAAAGACTTTGAAAAAGATAAATAAGCAGTTTTAAATGTTTACTATGCATTTGATATTATGAACCTACTAACTCTGACAGATGAAATAACTAAATTGCAGTTATATCAAAATGTTCTTATCTGTTAAAAAGGAAAAATAAAAACACAGATACTGACAAGAAATGAATTGACCACGGAGATTTTTATGAGACTTGGTCATATCACACGTCAGGGAAATGTGGGTCTGAAACAAGGCAAAGAGGAAGTGTACGTGAGGACAGTTCTATGCCCACTAGGACATTTTCATTAAATCCTGTGTGTTTCTTGGTCTTCTATTCAGTCTTTCAGTTGAAGGTGACGTGAGAGCAGAAACCCAACTCTCAAATGTGGACATGCCCAAGTTGTGAGTAAAAACTGGGAACTCCTAGTTAAAAAGCTTTCTCTATGGCACCCAGTCAGCCTTTCAGTCCTGAAGTTGATTTTCACCCCAATCCTCTTGAAACTGCGAAAAAAAAACCTGAATTTTTCGCATGCCTTACATATCGTTATAGAAGCAATTAAAGCCTTCGAAACACAGAGAAGATATTGGTATATTGTGAGACATAAAAGAATCATGCTATTTAGAGAGCCATCAATTTGACAGTGAATTGTCTTAAAGCTTTGGAGAAAACAAATGCTTAAAAAGAACGCAGGGTGGCGCTGCAGCCTCATAAGTAGAAGAAACCGGGACCAGCCAACTATCCAGTAACCAGACGCTGAAGGGAGGAGGAAGGAGGGGAGGCCTTCTAAGGCAGCCTTTCCGGAAAGTCTTGGGACTGGGGATTGTGGATTTATCCCATTGTCTGCAAGATATTTGCAGAGCAAGTTAGTGACGACGTGAATCACGGCTGGAGCGAGTTTGTTGGGAGACCAGAAGGCGATGGAGGCTGCAGAGGAAATGGAGCGAGTCCTGAAAAAAAGGCAAGTCCTGCTGTTCTTTGTTTTGCTGGGCATAGCTCAGGCTGGGTCCACTCTTAGGCGCTACTCAGTGGAGGAGGAAGCGGAGAATGGCTTTTTTGTGGCCAATTTGTTAAAGGACCTGGGGCTAGAGGTAGATGAACTTGCTGCGCGGGGACCACGAGTTATTTCCAAAGGGAAAAAATTGAACTTAGAGTTCAATAGGCAGACCGGGGATTTGTTATTAAGGGAGAAACTGGACCGGGAGGAGCTGTGCGGCCCCGCCGAACCCTGTGTGGTACCTTTCCAGGTGTTACTGGGAAATCCTTTGCAGATTTTTCAGGCTGAGCTGCAGATTAGGGACATAAATGATCATTCTCCCGTTTTTCTGGACAAAGAAATAATTTTGAAAATTTCAGAAATGACTGCTTCTGGAACCACTTTCCTAATAGAACCGGCTCAAGATATAGATGTAGGAAGCAACAGTCTCCAAACTTACACAATCAGCCCCAATTTCTATTTTCATCTTAAATTGCAAGACAGTCCGGATGGCACGGTATTACCACAGCTGGTTCTGGACAGAGTGCTGGATCGGGAGGAACAATCTGAAATCAGATTAACACTCACAGCGATAGATGGTGGGAGTCCACCCAGGTCTGGCACCGCACTGGTCCTTATTGAAGTCTTGGACATCAATGACAATGTCCCCACATTTTCAAAGTTTCGCTATGAGGTCCAGGTCCCAGAGAACAGTCCTGTTGGATCCCAGGTTGCTACAGTCTCTGCTAGGGATTTAGACATTGGGGACTACGGAAAAATAGCTTACGCTTTTTCCCAAGCAACTGAAGACATTCGGAAAACATTTCGAATGAATGCAACATCCGGAGAAATCCTTTTAGCAAAGCTACTGGATTTTGAATCCATCCAGACATATACAGTATATGTTCAGGCTACAGATGGTGGGGGACTTTCTGGAAGTAGTGTGGTGTTTGTTCAAGTGATGGATTTGAATGACAACCCACCAGAACTGACTATGTCCACATTTACCAATCACATCCCAGAAAACTCCCCGGAAACCATAATTGCTGTGTTCAGTGTTGCAGATCCTGACTCTGGAGACAACGGAAAAATGGTGTGCTCCATCCCAGAGGATCTTCCTTTTATTCTAAAACCCTCAGTTGAGAACTTCTACACTCTTATGACAAACACAGCCCTGGACCGGGAGACCAGATCACAGTACAACATCACCATTACCATCACTGATCTAGGCACACCCAGGCTCACAACACAGCACACCATAACAGTGCAGGTGTCCGATGTCAATGACAACGCCCCCGCCTTCACACAAACCTCCTACA